AGAGAGAGAAAAAGAAGCTACTTGGGTGAACTGATTTGAAATTTTAGAAGTTTAAATGAGGAATTGATGGCAAGCCAAGCCAGCCAGGGTTGTTGGACAGGGCGTACTAGCTGAAAGTGGTGCCGCTKATTTTAAATTGCCTTTGATTCCATGAAACGTATAACTAGCCAAAAGAACTTACAAACCTCAGGAATATTGTCAGCTTTTTGTCACAGTCCTTTCTGCATGATGTAACTAGAGATAGTTASCTGTTTACTTTGTCAGTTGACATTACTGGGTTTTATTTGCTTTTTACAACATATGCCAGTTCAGGTTTTTCTGGGTTTTGGAACTTAGGGTTGCTTGATCTTCAAAAAGCACAGACTTCCAGTGCCCCTGAGTGCAGAASTCTTCAGTGATTCAGTCTGCGGTGTTATGTATGCATTTGTTCTTAGCTCTAGAAGTGGGTGACATTGCTTGTCTGCAATATGGTGAAGTTTGGTATATTGGAAATTACTGAAGGATGTTTTCAAATATGGATTCTCACCGTAACATATTTATAGATAATTGGGACAAAACTGATCTGTTGTATGGACTTTCTATGACCCTTAATATGTGAATCATAAGAGGGATGCTAAATAAAAGTTTTATTGAATGGAAACAATAAAATACTTGTGGTTTGGCATCRGTGAATAGTGTTGTTTTTGGGGCAGAAAAGCTAGAAAAAAAGAATGAGTTGACATTCAGCTGTGCTGACCTCAGATACCTGTCTTAAAGGTAYCAAGAAGAGGAACTCTGCAATAAGCATGACCCAATCTTATGGTAGCCCTGTCTGACAGAAGGAAGCTGTGGCCACATCACACAGCTTAGGGACTGGTCATCCCAAAACCATTCACTTCCTTGGTTAATCCCTTGGTGCTAGCAAGCCTATTGCCAGTACAAAGATGATGAATATATTCAATGAATGACACTGAATGAGTTATATTCATCTAGGCTATTGTTATCAGAGCTATATTTAAAGTTTGCTGCTGACTTCCAAACTGGGAATTCTAGTGCTGGTGAGATCAACACCAAAACTAGGGTATTCCTTGAAGGAATCCTAGTCTACAGGGCAGAGAATGTAAAGRCATGTAAATGTAACCATGAACAATATGAGCAACATTTATATCATTTGGCTGCTAAAAGGTTAAGATTTTTTATTGTCTTGYTCTACTCTGTTAAAGCTACTCTTAAACAGAAGAGGGCTGAGGCTTCACATATTATCCAATTGTGCTTTCAGTAGCTGAAGGTACTGAATAGAGCATTCATTGAATAGAATTGGGAAAGTTCAATGCCAATTGCACACCATCCAAACTCACAGGTGAGGACTGAAGCACCGAATACTATAAATAAAATTGAAGGATTTCTGAATATTGAGGAAAGCCTGCATCATACAGATAACCTTTCATACGTGAAGACTGACTTTGATGGAGTTCATAGGTGACTTCATTAAGAAAAATAGGCTTTTGTAAGCAGTATGGGCCTCAGATAATGACAACCATGGAAATYCAGCATGATATATATGCTTCTATTTATTGTGTCAGTGCTGATGAGGAAGTCTGCATAGTCAGCGTGACATTATTTCGCAGAATATGGGAAATATTGTTATTGTGTGTTATTTTTACAAAATTAAAGGGGAAAAATGCTGTGTTGTCAATGAATTAATGRTGGATTTTGAAATGATCAAGTAGCCTATTTTCTAACAAAATRAGACATGTCCAACTGGGTCTGACCTAGTGTGGACTGACATTCCTAACATAGTATCCTGTYACCACTTGCAGCACCAGATATACCTGAGTCCATGTCCAATTCCTGCAGTCTGTTCTCATCATGTTGCCCAGCATTTACTAGTGTTGTATCAGGGTTGTTATAGAGTTCATTCTGGCCTTCTCTTTTTCACATCATCTATGTACCTGTTTGCCCATAGATTTACCTAAT